GATAAAGTGAGAGAGCAAGAGAGAGAGAGAGAGAGAGATTTCCCTGTACAGTGTTATCATACCATGAAATCCCTTCTCCAGTCCTCCTGTGCTCTGGTGGGCATGTTTTCAGGCTCACTAAGCCTGGGACTTGAACTGTGGTCAGCACATGGCTTCTCGCTCCACAGCTGGGCACACCACCAACTTCACCACAGGGGCTGAGCTGGAAATCCCCTTCTCCTCCAAACTCCTTTAAAAAAATTGCTAGAGGGTGCATGTGCTCACTGGAGAGAGATCTAGGGGGAAGAGTGAGAAATCGCCCCTCATGGAGGATGGCCATGCCATAATCCCTTCTCCACCATTCTCTTCCATTTTCTTTTGTCATTTTGGGCACACACGCATATGGGCCCAGTGTATTTTTCAAACCACTGGGTCTAGGACTTGAACTGTGTAGATGGCCATGTGGGATGAAGCCACCTTAACCATCACACCACCCAACTTTCTTGCTTTTAATAGATTCATACCAAAAGCAACAGCACAAAGTGTTGAGTTTTATATTGGGTCACATACTCCCTATTGCATAAAGTAAGGGTGTTTGAATCTTCAATATTAAAGTCAAGCTTACTGATTTCCTATGTTTAATTCTGAGGACCATGTTAAAAAGAAAGCAACATATATGGGGCCAGCAGATGGCATAGTGGTTATGTCACTGGACTCCCACATGGCCAGTCACAGTTTAAGTCCCGGACCCAGGGGCTTAGGACTCACACCAGGCATGTGTGCGTGTGTGCCAAAGATTCTCAGGAGGAGAATGGAGGAGAAGGGATTGTGGCATGGTCATCCCCCCGGGTGTGACTTCTGATTTCTTACTTTGCCTCTCTGTCACTGTTTCTCTAGCAAGCACACACACCGTAAGGCAAAAACCTCTTTTTAAAAAAGAAGGCAACACAGAAGTCACCAACTTTTTACTTGTCTCTATGCTGCAAGGAGGGGTAATGTGTACTAAGACAGGTTTCCTAGCCCTCAGTCATCTAGTCTGACCAGGTCTCTGTGGTGCAGCTGACCGGATACAGGACTGTGGAGCTGGAAACTACATGACAATTGTAGCTCAAATCCCAGGCCCACTCAGTCATAAAACGCACGAGGCACATGTGCGCATGGCCAGAACACTGGCTAGCCAGAGATTTAGACGGAGATCATGGTGTGACCAAGCCTTGTAAAGGGTCTTTTTCTTTCTCACGCACACATGTACTCTCTTGTGAATTCAAAAAACAAAAAACAGAAAACTTCTAAGCTGCAATGCAATGAATTATCTCTAAAGCACTTCTTTGCTTCCCTCATCCCAAGTTGGAGGATTTGGAATCTCAGCTTTCTTAAGTGGCTCCAACCTTGCCACGTGAGGCAAACACCAGGCAAGTGTACACATATGTGTGCATGCACACACGTACACACACAGATATTCACACTACACAGATGTGCTTCTATATTTCTTCAGTTTAGCATGAATGCAAAGAATTGTTGAAAGAGGGAAAATGTGTTAGGTGAATGATGTAAATAACTTCAATCTGGATTAGGAACTCTGACATAAGCATCTGTAAGATTAATAAAAGTGCGGCCAGAAGGTGGTATGGCAAGGCTCTGCACTTCCATGTGGCCAACTGCAATTCAAGTCCCAGTCCTGGTGTCTTGCTTTCTCAATTTCTCTGTCTCTCTAGTGAGTGCAAAAGCCCTATAGCAGATTAAGAAATAATTATAAATAAAATTAAATAGGGGTCAGCAAGCGACATGATGGTTAAGGGCATAGGACTCCCACATGACCAATCGTGGTTCGAGTCCTGGACCTGGCAGCTTGCTTTCTCAATTTTCCTCTCTCTCTTGCTCTGTCCCTCTCTGGTCAAATTAGACAAAAGGAAGTAAGGAAGGAAGATAAAATGATTCTTATAAAAATAAATAAATAAATAAATAAACAATTCTTTGAATAATAAAAAAGAAATTTTAACAGAGATTAATGAAGGCTGCTGGAATTGGCAGAAGTTTACGAATCGGATTATTCCTTTAATTACAACAATCATCCCCCCATTTACCCTCACCCCACCTTCATCTATGCAACAAATAATTACAATTTATGATGAAACTATTGATGAGGAAAAGGCATAAACCAAAACATACTGGAAAGAATTGTTTCCTGATAATTTATGGTCAGGAGATAATAGAACAAACAATACTGTAATAATAAGTGCAACTGATCAGCTAATCCCTATTCTCACATAATTCTAGTATGAAAAATCCGAGAAGCACCTATCTTTCATAACATTCTATTCTTTAGAATATTTATCTTCGGGCCCACAGGTGGAGTGGTGGTTAAGGGCATCGGATTCCCACATGGCCGACTGTGGTTCAAGTCCCAGATCTGGAAGCTTGCTTTCTCACTCTCTCTGTCTCTCTCTCACTCTGTCCCTCTCTGGTCAAATTAAAATAACTAACTAAATAAATAACTAGCTAAATAAAATTATTCTTTAGAAAAAAAAAAGAGCCTTTATCTTCAGGCCAGCAGGTGGCATAGTGGTTGGGGTGTAGACCCCCACATTGCAAACCATGGTTCAAGTTCTGGACTAGGCAGGTTGTTTTCTTGCTTTCTCTCTCTCTACTTCTCTCTCTCTCTCTCCCTCTCTTGTTCTGCAGTTAAATTGAAAAAGTAATGATATGATGAATAACATTGAATAAAATAATTCTTTGAAAAAAAGACTATCTTCAGTCACATGAGTCTAAGTTTCCTCTCTGGCTAGAGTGACCATATATCCTAGTCTGTCCAAGACAGTCCTAGGTGCTTATGAACAATTAATGACACGTGTTGTATGGCTGTAGTTGTTAAAAAGCACCTCCCAGTTTAGACAGTAAATTATATGGTCACCCTGTCATTGAACTCTCTGAAAGGCAATCAGGTAGCATTTTTAGTATTTGTAATGCTGTTTAGTTTTCATGCTGACCATAACTTCAGTCCTCAAAAATAACAAAACCGCCCAAGCAGTGGCTGCTGTTATTACGTTTTCAGGCATTTTAGTAATGGCCTATAAATGGGCTTTTCCTTGGAGGGCTTAAAGGTAGCAGCACTAAGATCAATCTTGCAAAGAAAATTTTGCCTGGTATATTGTTTCTTCCTTGGTATTGAGTCAGGGAACGGTGGAGGTGAAAGGACCTTCAAGAAGTCTTCAAGTTTCATTGAGAGGTGGGCAGTGAAGGAACACTAGAACCTCTCCCTCCCCACACACACACCCATGAATCCTGCTTAAAACTCTACTGCTTAAAATCAAGGGAAGTAGAGGCCAGCCAGTGGCATGGTGGTTAAGATGCTGGACTCTTAAATGGCAAACTGCAGTTTGAGTGTGGACCCAGTGGCTTGAAACTCACACTGTATATGTGTGCATGCCCAAAATGCCAGGAGAATGGAGAAGGGATTGCAGCATGGCCATCTCCCCTGAGGGGTGATTTCTCACTTTCCCTCTCTCTGCCTCTCTTATCGCATGCCTGATAGCAAAAACCAAAACAAACCAAAGAGAGAGAAGAAGAAAAGAAAAGAAACACCAAGGGGGAATCAAAGCTTTTCTGGTAAGGACACAGATGCACAGAATTTTACCCTCTAGAAGACTCTCTTCTTCCTTCACCTCAACAAGGAGGCCCGTTAAGTATCTCCTATGCTGGCTCCAAGAAACATAGTCTGTAAAACACAGACTGATCAATTTTGTTTAATTTACAAATGAGAAAAGGTTAATTTCATCAGTTCCTAATCGCATATTTTAATTTCACTTTCTGTACTGGTAACAAAGTCATAAGTCAGAGCGGAGTGGGCCAAATTAACTGTCACAGAAAGTTCCATCTTCTAAAGAGCCCTGAGTATACCTTACAACAGGGGAACATATGTTGATCGTATTAAAATGCTTCCTAGACTATAACTAGTAGACTCAAACATAATTACTCAAAACAGCCAAAACCTGGGAGTGTAAAAGAGGACTTTTAAAAGTTCATGGAAAATGGAATTAAAGTACCAGTTTATTTTGGTGCAAAAATTTTGAAATTCATTCATAGCTCTTTGGTAACAGACATTTTGCATGAACTTTTTGAGGACTCCTTGGTGTATTTCTTTCTCTAGAAGGGAAGTGGAACAAAAGCTAAATAAAAATGTGTGGAGGTACTGAAGTCATTTTTTTTTTGGAGAGGTTTTTTGCCATAGGGTGCGTGTGCTCGCCAGACAGAGAGAGACATAGAGACAGAAAGCGAGAAATCACCCCCCAGGGGGGATGGTCACGCCACAATCCCTTCTCCTCCATTCTCCTCTCGGGATGTTGGGCACGCACGCACACGCGCCCGGCATGAGTTTTAAGCCACCAGGTCTGGGACTCAAACCGTGGTCGACTACGTGGAAGTCCAGCGACAGCCATTACGCTAACTGCTGGTCCTTTGAACTCATTTTTAAAATTGCGATTCTAAAGTAAACATATATCCCACTGCTAAGAACAGCAACTGAGGAAAAACTACTGAAAAGAATGAAAGCGTTCATAATGGCATTATTCGGTAACTCTAAGATGTGCATAAGGACAAAGTGTAGGAGAGAAGAGGCAAGACAGAAAGAAAAGCAAAGATGGGGCCAGCAGGTAGCATGGTTGTTAATGGACTAAACTTCCACAGGGCCAACTGCATTTCCAGTTGTAGACCCGGTGGCTTGAAAATCACACTAGGTACGTGTGCATGAGTGCCCAAAATCCCCAGAGCCCAGAGGAGAATAAAGGAGAAGGGACTGCAGTGTGACCATCCCCCCCCCCGAGTCTCTGTGTCTCACTCTGTCTCTCTCCAATGAGCACACATACCCTAGGGCAAAAAATAAAAGTTAAAAAACAGAAAAGTGAAGATACAGGATTGTTAAGCGGTCAGTGGAATTCTGATGATTTATTTTCCTACCTTTCCCAAACTGTCTGTTAAAATGAAACAATGCAAAAACTTAAATACAGAATGCAATTAGTGCTTACCACGGAGACTTTGCTCACTACATCTCTTGCAACTGCTAGGCCTTGGGCAAACGTACGGGCTGCTACAAATGCACGAGTAACCTGCAGCTTCAACTTCCGAGGGACGTCTCCAAAGGGCTTCAGCTGCTCGGTGTACTTGCTCACGCATTCCAGGTACTCATCGGTAAAGTGGTACTGGGAGTTCACCAGGCGGAACATCCGCTCCAGGAGGCGAGCCCAGAAGTCATTTAGCATTTCTTCCAGGTTCACGTTTCCCACCACATAGTAGCGCTTCAACTCGACGAAGAGGTCTTTAAATAGCTCAGAATTTTGCATGTATAAATGGCCATATGTCTTCACAAACATATCATTCAGGGATTTCTCTGCATTTTCAAGTAGTTCTTTGAAGAATTCTAAAAACAAAACAAAAGGAGAATGAAAGAAAGGGTGTTTAACAATTAAATGAGTGTTTTTCAGGTCAACTAAAAAATGTTATGAAAATAAATTAAAAACATGTTTGTCTATAGGGCAATTTTCTTTGGGTCTGGCATCTCAGATCATGTTCCAATAAGACGAAACCTATGTCTCAGTCACTTACATTTATGTCTACATGTAAGAGAGAGAGAAAATGAAATCTGAACCAACTTTTCAGGAGTCTGTACAGCCTGTAAAACACAGCACACATTTCCTCCCTCTCTCTCTCTCTCACACACACACACACAACATTACAGCACACCTTATGTCACAAGGCAGTTCCATTGTCTGGTGGTTAAGGGAGCCAGATCCTACATTGCTGACTACACAGTTAGATCCGGGCCCAGTGGCTTGAAAAACATAGTAGGCACATGTGCGTGCCTGGTCCAAATCCCAACAAGATGGAGAAATGGAGAAGAGATTAATGTGTGGCTATGTCTCACTGGGGTGGGAGAGGGGTGTGTTCACTTTCATTCTTACTTCTCTCTGTGCCTCTGAAGACGAGAAGAATGAAGACAAGAAGAAGAAAGGAAGGAAGGGAAGAAAGAAAGAGAAGAAGAAGGAAAAAAAAGAAGAAGAAGAGAACAAGGAAAGAGTAAGAAGAGGAAGAAAGGAAGGGAAGAAGAGGGACAGGAAGAAAAAAGAAGAGAAGAGAGAGGAAGAAACAGCAGCAGAAGAAAAAGATGTGGACAAAAAGGAGTAGATGAAATCCAAAACACAGTTTTCCAGAAGATTTTACTGTAATAATCGCAACCATAAGTTCATCATGCCCCAAACTGTAACCTAGGACCAGAGCAGGTATTTTTAGGTTGTTGTTTCCCTCAGGCTTGTTTTCTTCCTTTTCTCCTCCTCACTGATGTACATGACACACATAACAACTGCCTGAAAGCTGCTAGAGACCAAGAAACATAACGAAACACCCCTAGAAGCGAGCATATTCATTTTCTAAAAGCAAGTACTCCGCTGTGCCCTGTGACAATAGTACAATTTGAGGATATTCAAGTTAATCGCAGATTCCGGACTGATTAATACAGTAATGTCGTGAGATCCTTTCCCGTGTGCCTTCTGAGAGTGAGAGAAAATGGATGATGAACTCAACCATAGATTTGGTACATTTTTAAGACAACCTGGAAAAATAGCTGAAAGTACACACAAGAATACCTGCTTGTTTCAGAATTTTGGTCACCACATTGCTCCAGTCTAAATGTTAAAATTTTTAGTCTCTTTAAATACGACTGACAAATCAGTTTTCTCCTGAAGCTGTATTCAGGAATAAAAAGAGGTGTTAATAGTATATGGATAACATTAGTTATTCTTTTTTTAGAAATTTTAAAAACTTTTATTTATTAAAATTTGCTACAGGGCATGCACATGAGAGAGAGAGAGAGAGAGAGAGAGAGAGAGAGAGAAAGTGAGAGAACAAGTCACCAGGTCCAGGACTTGAACCACGGTTGGCCATGTGAAAGTCCAGTGCCTTAATCAGCATGTCACCTACTGGCCCCAACATCAGTCATTCTTAAAGAATCTCTTGCCTGGTATAAAAGTAAACACGTCATGGTATCAAGGTTAGAAGCAAGAACTATGACAAATATGAAAGTAAAGTCTAAGGACCACATCAAGTAAGAAACTGCCTCTATCTGAACGTGGAACAACAAAAATATGACACCTGCTTTAAAGCCAGAATACTGGCAAGCTTATCAAAACACAAAAGTGCTGGGACCAGCTGATGGCATAATGGGAGTTGCTGGACTCCCACATACGTCAACTGCGGTTCAAGTCCTGGCCCCGGTGGCTTAAAACTCATGCTGGGCGTGTGTACATGTGTGCCCAAGATCCCAAGAGGAAAACGGAGGAGAAGGGATTGCGGCATGGCAATCCCCCTGGGGGTGTAGGGGGTGATTTCTCGCTTTCTGTCTCTCCAGTGGGGTATATTTGCCCTATAACAAAAATCTCTTTAAAAAAAAAAAAAAAAAACCACAACAGTGGTATCAAACCATCGCTTCTCACACTGGGTGGGCAAATCAGAGGTGGACGGCTAATTCCAAGGCGTTTTTCAAAACCTAGGCTCAATACATGGAAACCTTTTGGAAGGAGGTGGATGTACTGACTTTCAGTGTATGCCAAGAGGTTCTATGTACATTTCTCTACCTACATCCTTCTCAATCCCCCACTCTAGCTCATCACCACATGGTTCTTTGAGGCTGAAGCCCATAGTCCTCTCTGGTTCCAGCCTTTTGAACTTGCAATTTTTTTTTTTTTTGCTTGCTTCTCTCCTTTTCCATTTATCCAGTTTTATCTTTCTACTACTGCTTGTCTTTTATTTCCTGGGCTTTATTCAGAGAAAGGGAAATAGACTCTCCACAGAATAAATGAATAGGCGGACCACCTCATCCCCATTACAAGTGTAGCCTGGTATTTCTACCAAAGTCCTCTCTGAAAAATGAGAGGGCAGAAAGTACACAAAGAGCTAGGGGAACCATATGTAGGAGAAGCATGACTCAAATCAAAAACCTGGGGAAAGAATTTGTTCTCGCCAATATCTCAAGTGGTTCTCAAAGTGCAGCCTGGGAGCGGCATGCGCAGGCATCACCTGAACACTTTTCAGAAGGGCAAATTCTCAGCCTCACCGGAGACCTACTGAATCAGGAACCCTGACAGCAGGGCCTACCTTTCTGTGGCAGGGCCCAGGTTTCTGTGACTCTGCTGTGTCTGGCAGTTTGGGAACTGTTC